TTAGAAACAATGTAGCCTATCCAAGTTGGATTTCAACTTCACGATGAAGGATATCCGGCTCTAGGCAAATATATTCAATCTAGACTCAACTTCACGACGAAGGAGTCACCCATGATTTCAACTTCACGACGAAGGATATCGTGCCCAACAGATCGACTTAACTTCACAACGAATGAGTCATCTGCAACAATAAGGAACTATCTCTCAACTAAGGTCATCTAGTCAAATTCCAACTTCACGACAAAGGGTATTGGGCTTGAAGGAGACGATGAGGATTTTTCTTCCTACTCCAGACATTGAGCTAGATTTCAATTTCACAGCGAAGGATGTCATGCTCGACTGACTCAACTTCAGGACGAAGGGGTCAACCATGATTTCAACTTCATGATGAAGGATATCATATTCAAAGATATCTTAATATCTACTCAACTTTACAACGAAAAAGTCACCTATAATACAAACCAATTTTTAAGTCGAATTTCAACTCAGCGACAAACAATATTCGATAAAAGAGTCGACTACCATATTGAGTCAGATTTCAAAATCAAAGATCGACATCAAGCTTGCTTGCAAGCCCCGAATGAAAATTTGTGTCCCTTTATCTTTGCCCAATTTCTTGTTCTACGATAAATGAGCAAGGAGAGGCAACTATAGGCATTTATTTTCGTCTGGGTCTTTATTATATTGTATATATAATAATTTCAAAATATATAATATATCGTCTTTGAAAACTTATTTTAAAAAAACATATAATATATAGTTTTTTAAAATAGTTTTGAAAGCATATAATATATAGTTTTTAAAATAGTTTTGAAAGCATATAATATATAGTTTTTAAAACGGTTTTGAAAAACATATAGTATATAGTTTTTTTTAAATAGTTTTGAAAATGTATAATATATTGTTTAAAAAAAAAGAGGTTTTGAAAACATATATAATATAATGACTTTGAAAATATTTTTGAAAACGCATGGTTTTGAAAACATTTTCGAAAATGTATGGTTTTGAAATCATTTTGAAAACGTATATAATATAGTTTTGAAAACATATTTTGAATATATATATATATATATATATATAGGTTTTTTTTATAAAAAATGACTTTTCGAAAATGTATGGTTTTGAAATCATTTTGAAAACATATATAATATAGTTTTTCAAAACATATTTGAATATATATATATATATATATATATATATATATAGTTTTTTTTTATAAAAAATGACTTTTGAAAACATAATATATGCAATATAGTTTTTCTTTATTATTATTATTATTTATTTATTTAACCATTTCAGGTCCAAAGCAAAGGCAGGATCCAAGTCCAACAGTCTAACCGAGTCCAACAGTCTAAGGGACCTAGCAGGGAGCCCAACTGGGTGGGCAAGCCTGACCCAGCAAGCCGACCCGGTGAGCCCAACAAAACTAGGGTTTGGATGTTTAGTAAAGGGCACTGTAACACGTCAACCGTTAGATCTAGGCCCCGTGATCTAACGGCCCAGACCACATCAGGGAGGCAACGGGTAGCACGTGAGAACCAAGCACCAACAAGGTCGAGATTTTTGGCACTGGAATTCGAAAAATCACAACACCCCGGGATTGAACCATCCCCAAAATTTTCAGCCAACAATGAATCACAACAAACCTAAGTCGAAGCCTCAACCCCGAGTAAATTGGAAAATGGGGTAAACGACCCCTAAAGCAAACATGATTGACCCCGAAAAATTATTCCGAGCATGGCTATAAAAGCCATACAAAGCATGAAGGAACACAGAGAAAAACCAAGAAATCGAGCAGCAAAATACCAAAAATCCAAGCTACCAGAAAATACCAACAAAAAATGAGCCAAAGCGAAAGCAAAAATAAAAAAAATAGCCGAAATCAAGAGCGAAAAAAGCCAAAGCTCGAAGCTTTGTTGCATCGCAGGCCGTTGGAAGTGCATAGAAGCATCGTCAGAGAAGAAAAGACACCGGAAAACGAAAGGTTTTCCCCTAAAAAAAGGTAAAAAAATCAAAGCTTGTTTCTCATATATACGCCGATTAGATTAGTTTTGGGACAATCGGGCTTGGGTTTCATGATTGTAGGGTGGGAAAGAACATTTTGGGTGTAGTTTGGTTTTTCTAGCCACCAATGTCGGTCGCCAGAGTGACGGTCGACGGTGGCCGGGACGGTAATGCTTCACCGAAGTGTGATCGGCCCATGACAGGTTGGGGTAAGGTTAAGAGGATTTTGGAGAGTGAGGGAGGTTTTTTTTATATGAGATAAGAGGGTAAATGTTTTTTTTGGTGAATTCGGGAGTATTTATAGGGAGGGCTATGGTGTAAATATAAAAAAGTTAAATTATTTCTGTAATCTCTGGAATTTTGAAGTGTAATTCATTTTGGTTACCTATTACAAATTTACCCTTGAATTTTGAATTTATTCAATTTAATCCATTTTAAATTCCTTATATTTTACAAATTGATCCCTCTTAACTTTTATTCTTTCTTGAAGCTCTTGTATAATGTCAATTTGACCCCTACTTTTAAATTTTTTGCAGTTAAATCCCTTTAATTTTAATTTTTTTATTTATTACCTAATTTAATTTCGTTTTTCTTTAATATTTAATATGGATTTGATTTATATTTTTTAGGTCAATTTTAACCGATCAAAGGTAAGTAATTCGGATCGAATCTTTAAATTTTGGTTTAACTTTTAATTTTCGCTATTAAGACAACTGGAAAATTAAATTGGTACCGAAATGGCAGTACAAGCGTGCTAATCCTTCCTTGACTGTAATCGACTCCCGAATCCGACATATTTTTGGTAAAACGCAGATCATGTAAGATGATAAATTAAGGTGTCCGATCAACCCTAATTTAAAAAAATAAATGATCAGTGATGGCTCTAACATGTTTTATTTAAGTCGAAGCCTGATTCCGGACATGGCATTCATAAATCCAGATTATCATTATGAGCACCAATTTATAGAGTTTGTTTATCGGTTATTACTATGAACACTTACCAATGGCTGATAGCTTATATGAGTTGTTCGAAGAAGCTGAACTTGGACTAGTGACGGATCCAGGTTGAGTTGAGGCTTGAATTTTTTTTGGTCATTTACTTATTTTATTGAGTGTGCTCATCTTAAAATTTTATTTTTGATCATCCCATATAAAAAAATTATGTTATTAATATATGCATGCCCACTTTGAACAATATATCTGAATCCGTCACTGACTTGGACCCGATAGAGATGACCTCTTTACTTCTTTTTAGAGTTTTGACGATTTCCTGGTATTACCACCCTTCACTCTGTTGGAAGAAATGGCCGCCGCTAGTTGTAGAAGAGACGGTGAAGAAACCATGATATTCGTGACCCAAAAATCCACTTCTTCCAACGCTCAACACAACCCATCTAAACCTGAGCATATAAGTAGAGATTAATTATGAGGAGTAAGTTACCTATATTTAATTAATGAGTGGTTAGACTGGATAATTGTCATCTGATAATTTTATCATTCTATCATTTCTGGATGGTTCACTCCCTAATGATATAATGTAATTTTGATGTTTTTAATATTTTCTTTTCAAAAAATTATTATAAAGAATAGAACAGTACAAATGAGTTTCACTTCCTCACTTAGAGTGTATGAAATTTGGAAGGTTGTGTCAATATTAAGGACAATTCCACTTTTGAGATTATATCAATCTATACGAAATTGTTTCTAAGACGACTTTTATTACTACACAGTAAATTGTTCTATCTCTTTCATTATTTGATTATTACTTGTTAGTCAGTGCTAATAGTATTGTTTTGCAGCAGTATTGTTTTCTAACAAAGAATGGTTCATTTTACGGTTGAACGCAACAGGAGGAAGCAAATGGAGCATTTATCGGTGCCCAGATCGTTGATGCCTTGCTTTTGTGAAAAGAGTATGCCACTTTGTCTTTATCAGTTTGTTTGTCTTATTTCTATTTATTGGTTATATATGTGTATTTAATTAATCAAGCATTGGAATGTTGGTAAAAAAATATTACAAAATAAGATGTTAATATTGATGGCACAATTTAAATAATTAATTAAGAGCGGAATAAACAATCGTTTCGTGATAAAGTATTATTTTAAAATCGAATTCATTTCGATATATGTAATAATGACAGTGTACGAACATCTCTCAAAGTTAGTACAATCTCTCCAAAATGATATCTCCTCTGATTTCTGGTCAGGCTGTAAATGTCTCCTTTCATCATTGAAAAAGAGAATTCGAAGTTAATAACAAGAAGATCCACAATAAAATGGCATTTGTCCAGGGCATTTTTTTCTTGAGGGGAAAAAGTTTTGAGAAGGATTTTCAATTAGAATTTATCATATCAGGTCTACAGAATAACGTCCATCTCAAAAGGTCATTAATTTTTAATGGAAAAAAATAAGTTTGAAATATTATTTTGTAACTTTTAATAGTTAGAAGAATCAACAAAGCAACAACTTAAAATTAGGTGATTATTTTATAACTTTTAATAGTCAGAAGACTCGACAAATCAATGTTCTATAGTCGAAGGACCATTTGTGAACTTTACCCTAAAAAGAATATTAAATTCGAAGGGTTAATTTCATTAGAATGCTTAAAAGTGAGTTAAATTTTAAATTCGTTTTTGAATTTTGGGATAAATATATACCATTTTTTCATCATTTATTTATTTAATAAAAGTAACTAGAATAATTTTTATTATAATTAAAGTGCTTTTTCAGATTTATAGTTGATTACAAATGATTTGTTTATATCGATTTCATTAAAATATTTTTAATCTAGCCCCAAAATTGACAACTAGGCTGATTGAATTGAAATATTGTAAAGTTCAGTGAACAAAAGTTACATATGTTCTTATAATAAAATACAGTCTTCATTTGCTATAAGACATCATCAATCTAACAGGAATATAAATCCCAACTCCTTTTTTAAAGAGTAGAGTTAAAATTATTCTAGGGGGAAATCAGAGAATTGTGGTTATTTTGGTTTGATTAAGAAAAATAACCATTGTTGTCAAATGCAAAGTTGGGGTGGAACTGATCGTCACTACCAAATGGCAAGTCCAAGCCAACAGTGGGAGAATTCGTTGATGAAGTCACGGCTTGGTAAACGCCGGTGAGCGTCTGAGTCTCAGAATTTGGAAAATTTCCCAACAAATTATCACCGTTCATCATGGATGTTGCAGTAGGAGATATAAACGAAGACAAAACATTTTCAGCGAAGTTAATGTTACCCATCACAGGAAGTGAAAAGACAAGGTTGTCTTCAACCTTCATATCGGGCGCCGCCATTGATGAAGACGACCTTTGTGGGTTGCTAGTTACTTGTTCTTGAGTTTCTGAGATTCCCGAGAGATGGTTCACATGGGATGCTAGATTACAATTGTGGGTTCCTCGATAAGTAATCTCAAAGATTGTTGGGTCTTCATCTGATCTTTGTACTTGTTTTCTTGCCAAACAACCTTGTACATTTCGACGTGTACACCTGTAATAGCCTCTGTAATCGAAGATATCAACTTTAATGAGATGTTATAGTTAATTAATGGTGGGTGGGAGAATCGGCAAACCTTGGATATTTTGCTCCCAGAATGTCTTTTTGTCCATATTTCCTCCAACCGAAGCCATCGTCAAGAGGTCCCTCCAGGGCTGCACCTGGTGTCACTCGGACTTGCTGCGTCCATCTCGGCAGAGTTTTTCTGCATCATAAAACATAGTTAATCGATAATTGCATGAAATAACTAGGACCATTAATGGAACAACTTTATTTACGTTCGTCGTTTCAATCGTTGATAGGTGAGACTGTGATCTCTTTTCTCAGTCATGATTGAGGAGTATTTATGATGATCTTAGCTTGTAGTGTCAGATATAGGATAATTATTACTACTTGTAGGTCAACATACTAAATATATCTGATTATTAGATCTTAGATTTTGTTTTGATAGGCACATGAGATTATCAAGGTCTAATAGGATTGTAGTCATTTGATGAGCATGGAATCTAGTTGAGGCGAAAATACTATTTTCGGAGTGTATATTCGAAGAATAGCTCCGGAGGTATAACAAGGACAAATTAAGGCTTGGTTGAAGAGTTGAGTATCTATCTATACCTTTTCTTGTCCTCCTCCTTGAAATCATGGTCGGAGTCTTCCCTCCGGGGACTTACACTATGAGAAGGCGGCGACTCCAACATTCCGATGGTTAGTTCCGACGACTGTGGTAGCTGATCTGTTGACAAAGAGGCATTGCAGCTTAGCATTGAAAGTGCCTTCTCGTACGAGGCTTGGATCCTTAACAGTAGTAATTCACGAGTTTCGTGAGAAGAAGAAGGCGCATTGAGATAGGCTTGGAGTTGCCTAGCTACCTCTCTTCCTTGGGTTAACTCATTTATCAAACTCCTTTGCTCCCATTCTCCCATCTTCTCCATCTACACAAACAAAGGACACATTCAAAATTAACTCTTTCTCAAAGCTATCAATTAGTTCACTCAACACAATTAAAGCTGTTTTCCCCCCATCAAAGCTATCAAAAATGGTTTCTGGTATTATCGATATAAGGCTTTGATGAGTTGTTTTGTGCATGGCAAACCTTATTATAAATATAGTATGGGGTTTGGTGTATAAGGTGAATAGACTCATTTGAATGATAAATCAAAGTCGGAATGAAGTGTGGATTTTCTTCATTACGACCGGTCTTTGGTCAGAAAATTTGCTTCAAATAAAGCAAGTCCGACTGTTGACCATTTCTCCTCCGCTATACATTTCAACCATTTAAATACAAGGTTATACTTAAAAGTGCTTATTTATTATTAACGCAGTTTATGATGGGTTAAAACATTTTTTTATCCTACAATATTACTTCAGCCAATAACATAAAACATTAGGTAAAGTACATAAATGGTCCCCCGAGTATAAGATGTTGCTTTGTTGAGTTTCATGATTATTAAAAGTTACAAAACAGTCCCCCAACTACAAGGCATTGTTTTGTTGAGTCCGTCGACTATTAAAAGTTACAAAATGGTAATTCGACTATTCATATGTTTCAAACTCCTCCTTTTTTTATTAAAAAATTAGTGGTCGTCTGAGTTAGAAGTTAACATGTGGACTTAATCCAATACTACGTAGTATCGATACTTAAATCCAATATTAGTATTAAATTGACATATTAGATTTTAAATCCAATATTATTATTAAATTGACATATTCGATTTTAGGATATATTACGCGTTTAGTATCTAAATTATCAGTTTTAATCTTTTTCAGTATCTAAACTTTCAATTTTTTAAAATCATACTTAACGTTTAGTTTTTATTTTATTTTAGTTATCTCGCCGTTAAAAACTCAACGGCTGCATTTTTATGGGTAAATTACATCGTTCATCACTCAACTATCTTCTCACTCATATTTGATACTAAGGTTTAAAAATTTTCAATTTAACTACTCAGCTTTCAAATTGCTCCTATTTTAATCACTCTAATTTATTTTATTAATAATTTTTGTGACATTACATTTTTATCATTATTTTATTAATATATAATTAAAAATAAAAAAATAAATTTGAAAGTTAGAGTGATTAAATTAGGAGTAATTGGAAAGTTAAGTAATTAAATTGAAAAATTAAACTTTAGTGACCAAAATAGGAGTGAGAAGATAGCTGAGTGATGAATGATGCAATTTACCCATAAAAAAGTGCCACGTATAAACCACATATTAAGTTTTTAACGGTGATGTACTAAAAGGAAACAAAAACTAAATTTTAGGTATGGTTTTGAAAAAAATTAAAAGTTTAGGTATTAAAACGGACCAAAATTGATAGTTAAAGTACTAGATGTATAATTTACCTTAGATTTTAAAATTTTTACTCGATATCGATATTCTTTTGGTAGTAACAATATCTTCTAATGAATTCCTATCGATACTATCCAATTAATATCAATACTACTAGTAACAAATGGCCAAAACGATAATTTAATCATGCTTAATATCCTATTAAATTTTATCTAAATCATGTGCGACGCATATCATAATCAATGACAATTCAAACATGCATCAAAATATCAATTTCACCCTGAAATCATCAAAGTAAAAAAAAAATCAAAAGTACGATTGTTTCACGACATTTACTTTTTTACTATTTCGTTCAACTTATAACCATTATTTGCATATCATGTCTAGTAATTTACTTGCCATGTTTTTCATATATTAAGGCATGGATTACAAGCTTACCTTCTAACATTATTATCTTGCCTTTAAACAACATGAAAGCGTAGAAAAACATGACATATATGTCTTAGTTATACATAGCACTAGACTTGCACAAAACGTAACTCAAAATGAAACAACACACGTCAATACAAATATGCATAGCTACCATTCTAGGAGTTTAGCCACTGACATTTATATTAGAATAAATCAATGATTGACTTATAACCATTAAAATGCAATCTCAAATACACCCATGAGTTTAATGTCCTTATAAAATCATGCAAGACAATAGATTAAGAATTCATAACTTAGTAAGGTAACACTACAGCAAAATAGGTATATAGTGGCGTTTATCGCGGCGTTTTCACTAAATTTATACATATCACAGCGTTTATATCCAAAACGCCACAAAATAGTAACATTAACGGCGTTTTTCAACAAACGCCGCTAAAATGCGTACTTTAGTGGTGTTTATTTGACAAATGCCGCTACAAATAGTGCTTTAGTGGTGTTTATTTGACAAACGCCTCCAAAGAATCTTACTTTAGTGGCGTTTCTAAACAAACGCTGCCAGAGAATCTTACTTTAGTGGCGTTTCTAAACAAACGCCGCAATAGAATACATATATCGTGTCATTTTTAGAGAAACGCTGCTAAAACCTAGTACTTTAGTGGTATTTTTTATTAATGCTGCAATAGGGTACATATATCGTGGCGTTTTTAGACAAACACCACCACAATATGACGTGTTGTAGTGGCGTTTGTTCTCACAAACACCGCAGTAGAGTTAACGTTTATTTACCTATAAAGCTATAGCAGGTTGCCACCTTTCAACACCGTCGTGCCCTACACCATTCGTTCCTTGTTCTCATTTTGAATCAATCACCGTTTATTTACATGCCATCAGTTTTTCGCCCATTTCTACTATACTATAATTCAAGAACACACTTTGTTTGGAATTTGAACCATGGCGGGGATCGAAGGAGGAGGGACATTATCGAAAGTCTATCATAGCGCCATGAAGCTACTTCTTCGAGCAAGGGACAAGATTGAACGGTTGGAGAGGTTCGAGAGCTCCGTCTCCAGGGAATATTCACGCGAACTCTCCTTCTCTGTTAAAAAAGATATCTCTCAGATCCACTCCCTATGCGCCATATGGATTGTCTCTGGCATTCCATCCCCAACAAATCCCAACGTGATCTATGGAAAAGGTATCACCGCGAAAACGCCTAACATTTAATATCACATTTCGCACTTGTTTATGAATATTCTAATTTTTTTGCTATTTGCTTCCTTGCATTTCTCCGTATTTGATTTTATTATTTGGCTTTATTTTCTCAATTTGATCCAATAGTGCCTTTATTCTTCGAAAGATTTAGGTCTTGGATAATTGATTGGCGATGATCGTTTCTTTCCTCATTGTTTCATTGAACTATTTATTAATGAAAGTTCAATTTTAGTTCCGGAGTGTTTTAGCTATAGTTGTATTACTCATTTTATGTCTATCCATGAGAATTATGAACGAGAGATGGGAGTGGGCATGCTTAACTTCTTGTCAATTTGTAGATTATCCTTACTAATACAAGTCGATGATTGGGAGAAGTCCCCATGATTAAGTTTAATTTTCTTTCAATTGATTTGATGGTGGGTTCTAAGTGACTTCAAGCAAATTTTAGTAAGAAAATGGTGTGCAACTTTCAGTTGATTCTAAGTTTAATAAATTACTACGGACAGTAGCTTTGCTAGTTCACTGGAAATCAAATTTCATGCTTGAATAAATCATAAACTCAAATATCAAGCATTAGGATGTGAGACAACTAAAAATCTAAAAGAGAGTGAGCATTTAGAAGTTTTGTCCTGTAAAACGACAGCAACAGGTTTTTTCTTTTTGATGGAAAATTATTTTGAGCTCAAGGCTTGGTTGACAAAGCTTCTTTACGAGTAGTCTAACTGCTCTATCAAATTGTCAAATAAGTTTTAGTTAACGAAAAAACTTTCCTTAGTATGCCTTGTTAGAATTTTTCTTTACTTGGTTAAGAGGTGTGCCTTTCTTTGGTGAAATTTGAAAAGAGGTAAAGCTGCTTTGATGATTTTCGATTACCATGCCCGATGTTATTGTAAATCATATTATTTTTATTGTCTTACACCTTGAGGTTATTTATATTTGGCAAACAGAAAAGTTGAACAAGTAGGTGAAGAGGCCGACTCTTTGAAAGATAGTCTAGACAATACTCTGAGGAATCAGAAACGGATGCCCAGGAGAATTTAAAATTTATGTGTAAGATTTTATATCTTAATTGATTAATTTATAATATTATAACTTATAACATGTTGTCGTTAAATATATTCATTAATGATAATATTTTCACTAAAATTGTTGTTTGTATTGTAGATATTATGCCGAGGAGAAAATTAAGTGAATTGCGGATTGTTCGAGTTTCTTAAGAGGAGGAAGAAACAAATAATGAGGAATAGAGTGGTTTTGGATCTTTGGTGTTATTTTATATATATATGCTTTGTTTATTCTAGTTCACAATGTTGAACTACATTATATTTCACTTTAATGTAAACTTTGATTTATTTTTATGGATTTCAAGTTTGTTGTTACGGATTTCAAGTTTATTGGATAATGTTACAGGTTAAAATTTTAACATTTGAAAAATCACTTTTAATTAGCGGCGTTTGTATAATAAAACACCACTAAATACATAGTCAATACAGGTGTTTGTAAACAAAACGCCACTGAAGTTCAAGATCTATTGTGGCGGTTATATAGAAAACGCCACTATATAAGTAATCAATAACGGTGTTTTACATCACAAACGCCACTATATGTAAGAGAATTTAGCGGTATTTTTATGAACAAATGCCACTAAAGAAAAGATAAATAGCAACGTTTACGCCGCTAAAGATCATAACCTTTATAAGCTTTTGTAAAAAAAGGCGTTTGACGTTCACAAAAGCCGTAAACTTTTGTGACGTTTGTTTCAGCGGCGTTTTTTACAACGTTTGTTTTTACGCAAGAAGAGTTTTAGCGGTGCTTAAAAACGCCGCTATATGACTAAAAAAAGGCCGCTAAAACCTATTTTGTGTAGTGTAATCATGATATATATGATAAAGGATAGCAACTATCTATGAATATCTTTGATCATATCTTAACATATAAGCATTTAATATATCTTTGTGTGGGTAATAACATCTATCATATTTTACTACGCAAGTGAATCACGCAATATTTTAGCTCGATGATTTTTACG